TAACCCCTGTCCTGCCCTAAATGCCCCCCCTCCTGGAACACTGGTGCTGCAGTTGCCAAACCAGCCGGACACTCTGGGAATTGTACTGGAACTGCCAAACTTCTCACAGGTTGAAAAGCAGATGTTGGGAAATAGCTTATTGGGTTTGTCCAGCAGTTTTTCTTTTTTAACTCACAGACACTCCGCTTGTTTAACTAAATGCAGGTTGATCCGGATGTATTTGCTGCCCTTCCCAAAGAACTACAGGATGAACTGAAGTCTGCCTACAGCCGTGCTAACAATATCCAACCCCAGGTGAAAACGGGTGAGTTAACCCTCAGTTTGCCTTCTGCCTCCAGCACACAGCTGTTGTTCCTTCATGAAGGGTGTTGTTTTTATTTATTTTTGTGTCACTTTTTGGCCGGTCTGCAGCAGAGCAGAAAAACCCTCTGTTACAACTTAAACCAGCGGTTGTAGGAGCTGCCGTCGGGCGGGTGAAGCGGCGCTACAAGAGAAAGAATGGAGTGAGTCCCGTTAAAAAAGTGACTTCCCCGTTAAAGAGGCGACAAGTGATGAACAGTCCAGCCAAAAACATACTGCCCATGAAACCACAAGAACCTGTGAGTGGACCAAAGGTTACAGATATTTGTATTTCTATGCAATCATTGTTTCAAACTAACTCTCCTTGCTTTCACTTCTTTTCTCCTCCTTCAGGCTAAAATTAACCCCTCTGCTGCCGAGCAAAATGTCTTGGTGTCTGTGACGAAGTCAGTCCCTCGTCCTGTTCCGACGTTGGCTGGAGCTTGTGATTTGAGGGACATTAAAACACTCCTACGGGAATGGGTCACCACCATAACAGGTTATTACTACTGTCGTATTCCTACACATCTTGTAATTTAACAATCCACATCCACATAGTCCTTATATATCCTCATTAGGGATATTACATGACCGATCAACGCATAATCCTGAAGAGAAAAGGAAACAGTATGTGGTTCCGGTTGTGTTTGACAAACAGAAATCTGAAGATTTCAGCATGCATCGGCTTGTCTAAACTAGAACCAGCTTAGGCTGCAGTTACAGTTTAAATTCTCTTTGAGTTGGGCTGTTCTGCCTGTGTGCTTCTAGAGGTTTTAGAGGTTTTGTTGTTTTTTTCCATTTCCGGATTCTCAATTGCGTTTAGGTCTACACTTGGACTAGATCATTTTTGAAACTGTTTTTTGACTGTTTTGCGACCTTTACTCTGACTCTGTTAACAGTTTATACAAAAATGTGTTTATTTTAAAATTTAAGACAAGGTTCAAGACAGAGGTGACACATTAGCTTCCATGTATTCTTTTATGAAGCGATATAGCATTGAGCACTTAGATTTTACAATTATATTTTAGATTTCAGCTTTTTTGTTCTGATTTATGTCAATAGTTTTGTTTTTTACTATAGTGATACACAAGCGGTTAAATTTTAAAATGTCTGTTGTGGGGTTAGAACCGATGGAGGAGGACATCCTGCAGGTAGTGAAGTACTGCACTGATCTGATTGAAGATAAAGATCTGGAGAAGTTGGATTTGATCATCAAATACATGAAAAGGTCAGGACTGCATATATGAACACTTTTCCAGAGCCTAGCTCTCTCTTATCGCCTTCTCTCATGTGGCTTACCGTTTTGTATCGGTCCTTCTCCCTCAGGCTCATGCAGCAGTCGGTGGAGTCCGTTTGGAGCATGGCGTTCGACTTCATCTTGGACAACATCCAGGTGGTTGTGCATCAGGCTTATGGTAGCATCTTGAAGATCACATGAACACAAGAAGACAGAAGTTCCTCTGTTCTACCATGATCTAACATGTACCAAACGAATCATGACATCTGAATGATTATTTTATGTTTTTCTGGCTTTTTCTCTAACATCTTTCTGTTCCATCAGTGGCTAACAAAAATATTAGCAGAAAAACAAAGAGCCATTATTGTATTTTTTTAAGTTTGTACAGTATGTTACTATTTGTACATATTTTTTTTACTTTTTTCAATGTTGGAGCAGCTTAAACTGAAGGGCAAAATGTTCTCGCCGTCTACTGGGAGTAGATTAAGATGCTGATAATCCTCACAGCTTTGTTGGTAACGTTTGTTTCTACTTATGTTTAGCACTGCGTTTGATTTGTCTCAAGTTTGATCAGGGCATGATGTCATACCCAAGTTGAGCCTGTTGTGATTGTAGGACGGTAAACCAATGAGATTACACTGTTGAGGTGCTTTAATTGTTACAAGCCTATCGCAGCTGCTTTGTTTCAATTCATGGATGCAACTCTGGAGGAACAAGCATGAGAATGGAGGTTCCAATTTGTGTCAACAGTTAAAAGTGAGAATCCTTCTCAGAAGTACAAAAAAGGTTATTCTTGCGACTTTAACAATGTTTTATACGTCTGGCAGCCATATTTGATACTGGACATGGAATGGCTCAGGGATCTCTAGCTTTCCCAGTCGGCATTCTGAATTCAATGTGTGTTCTTTAATTTTTTTTTTTCTCACTAGGGACTCCTGAAATTCTGACTTTGAAGAACAAATCGAACGCAGCACACTTCTGTTTACTTAATTTGTTGTGTTTTTTCCTACATACCTGTTCCAACCCAGCAATGCAACATTCAAAGATCCTTTTTATCCTGTTTCATTTTCAGCAAAGCAGTTTACTTAGCGTACAGGTACTAGTGTTTAATAAAAGGCTTATCATGTCTAAACAAAAAAAAACACCAAACTCTTGGATCACTTTTAGATTCTGTTAACCTCGTAGCACTCCTCCTACTTTTCTGTGGAGAAAAAACTCGTAACTGCTGCACTCTGTGATATTTGTCTGTTTTTAGGTTAAAAAAAAAAGTGCCAAATCTTGTTATAAAGTGTAGATAATGTTTTGAAAGACCTTTGTCAAATGTTTTAAACAAAATGTAAGTGGAGGGATTGCCTCTTGTATTGTTTACCAGTAGTGAATTCTTAGTAACAGTCTTTAAATTGTAACTCTTAAGTCTAAATGCTCATAAGTGTTTCAGCATAGAAATCTTTGGATTCTGTGTAGCACTCTAATTTGGTAGGACATCATGTTTAATGGCAATCGGTTAGCCTATGCATTTCTGTTCTTCTTTTTCTTTTCTTTTTTTTCAACAAATGAGAGATTTGCTGACTTTTTTTAACATTCATTTTGGGATAATCCTTTTAAAAATAGTTTTCATTTGGTTCTGAATCTGTTGAATAATGCTGGATTTGCATAGATTCAGGTGACCCATCTTTTGTAATTCACTACAGAAACACTTGTATGGCACATGACTTCACTTCTGTATATATGTTCTGAATTGAACTTGTATGAGCGATCATTGAAAGCACTCGTCAGACACAGCTAACAACTTCTGATCTCCTCACAGAAGACGACAATGTAAGCTTTTTAAAAGTTTGCTTAAAGCAGTAACTCTATATGCAAACCAGATCGGTCTGAATGTAACCTGGAATGTGTGAGTTTTCATGTACTTTTAAGATGTTACTTCTCATCACCTTTCACTTGTTTCCTGAAAGAAATGGCCACAAGTAAAAACTGGCCGGCATTGGGTTCTCTAAACTGGCTTGTGCCTGAAGACCTGAAGCTGTGAATTTGTTTGTAAGTTTTCTAAACCTTGTTAATAAACTTAAACTTCTAATACCTTAACCTTTCTTTTCACTTATTAGAGGTTCCTGTGTGACACTGGAGGAAGAAAACCACAAATGGCAAAAAAAAAAATGTCATAAAAGGTAGTCTTTTGTAGAAGGGGGTGCAGGAACAACTTTTAATAAGCCATAGGGGGCTTGCAACCTCAGCCATTAAATGTGGTATTAGCATCATGTGTGATTGTTTTCTTTAGCAGGAATGAGGGAGCTGGTGTATAGTGAAGGGGGATACAGTGAAAACCTCTTTAAAAAACCTTGTGGCAGAATAACAACTGTTAATCTGGTTGTCAGTTCAGTTTAAAGACCTGCTGATCATCAAACTTGTCTTCATTGTAATTTTATTGGAGGTTCAGGGTTCAGCTTGTACAAGGTCTCCTTTCCCTGATGTACATTAAGCCACACAGGATATAGCAGAGGTGGAGCCTTGACCCTACAGTGCAGCAATAGATAATGTAACAAAGTCACTTGGTTATCAATAAGTGAGGGTTTTAGACCATATTTTGGCAAAAGAGCACAACCTAATTTGTGCTGGCCTGGGTAGATCTTGATCTCTGCAAGTCAGGCTTTTGATTACTTCTGATAGCTGACATCAGAAAATATGTTTATCATTACCAGATAATTTTTTGTGTTGAGGGCTTGGTGCTTGCATCAGACAAGGTGTATGTCAAACGTACACAGAACAGCTGACTCTTTCTCATCTATTTTTGTTACCACTCTAGCACACTAACCTTAGCAAAGTGTAGTTTTTGGCTTTAGGAAATACCAACGTCACTGCAGGTAGTTTAATATTTCACATTAACAGAGGTCCCCTTATAATGGAAAATAACCCTAAACATACAGCCTTCTATGACAGAATGATTTCAATTAATTATTCATGCGTTAGAGTGACCCAGATCAAATTTAAAAAATATGATCTTTTACTACTCTTACTATGATTTATCATGAAAAATACAATAACATACATCATTTTATGGTGATAATATATATATATAAAGATTTTGTATTAATATCCTTGCAATGCAACCAATGGTACTTATATTGTACATCTTATGAAGGCAATAGATGGAATTACCATTATTTGACTTGGTGAGCTATTTCTGTGACTTTACAGGCAAAGGGCACGGATTGAAGAGCTTGTATAAATAGATTTTGGTTCTAACAAGTTTAGATAAACTTCGACTCAGAGCTAAATCTGTTATTTTTTAAATAAAAGGCGACGGTTCAATATTGATGAACGTAAGGCCCGTTTTTGTCTGCAGAGTTGTACAATTAGTAGTAAAATTGTATTTTACTTTGAAAAATACGCAGAATTTGTTTTCTTTATTTTTTACCCGGAAGTGGTTAATAACTCGTGACGTCATATCCTTTGCAGTGGTTTTCGCGCACGAACTGAAGTTGTTTCTCCGCCGTTTCTTCTGGTATTATTTTTTTAGTTACCATCTTGTAAATGTCTACATTGACGTTACTGAGATTGTTATTTTCATACACGCCGCCCCTTGTTTAAAGGTGTAATAATAGATGTATATGCAGATGTAGAGCTTACGTTAGCTAGCCAGCTAGCTAACATAGCAAGCCGTTGTAACACAAATGCTTTTATCTCTACATATTTAGCAGTTAAATTAAATTAGCTTTTATGTGTTTTTCTGAACATAACGATGTACGGAGCTGGTTTTGACGGTTAACCGAGCACAGAAACCTTATATAATGGACTATTGTATGTCTACAGACTACATTAACCAAAACAAGGCGTGCCCTGCGGTTTCAGTGGCTTTGTTAGCTGCAGGTTTGTGAGATTAACTGGTTTTCAGAATAACTTGCTTTTTTCCTCTCCTGATCTGCACTGAACAGCAATTAAACCCAGTTAATTTATTCAGCTCCCGTAACAACACGTATCTCAAGGCACTTTACTGAGCTGGTTTGATCTAACCTTTCACACAGATGAGTTAAACGGGGTTTTATCTAAGGAAATCAGGGGGGTCACATTGTACCTTTGGCTTGAACAATCCACCCCTCATGGACGAGAATATAACCAGGATTGGGCACGTTACTTTGAAAAAGTAATTAGTTATAGTTACTAGTTACATCTCCCAAAAAGTAACTGAGTTACTCCACAATAAAAGTAACTAGTTACTAGTAAAAGTAACTATTGCGTTACTTTTGCGTTTCTCGCCCCGTAATCCTCGCCTTCTCGCCGTGTGCTTCAAAGGCCATGCTGAATAGAGTAGATGACAAAGACAAGTACCTGCAGTTTTGCATTTATTGCAACTCAACGTAAATGACATTGGGGGGAATGCTATCTGACGGGCCTATAAACCCCGTCAGATAGCGTTTCCCCCTGCTTAACATGGGGAGAACGGTATCTGATGCAGTGTAAATATCATCAGGCTGCATTACCTCTACTCATGGGTGTGAAGTTTTTTAACAGGGCGTTCAGATCTGGTGAGTGTATGAAATTAATAACTGGGGATGTCTTATTCTGAAATCCTGTGTGTTTGGGTTGCTATAGATACTGCAACATCCATCTGTCTATCCATCCATCCATCTTTCTCCCTTTCTCCATTTAGGCTAACATTTGATCGTTCACGCTCTCCATAGTTCCCCTGTGGCGCGAGCACAGGGTGGCTGTTACGAGCCTTTAGCGAGCATGCGCGTTTCCTGTTCCGTCCGCGGTGAATCGTGCCGCCTGCGCTGTGCGGCGATGCAGGGGAAACTATATCTGATGGGGAAACGCAGCTCGACGTAACACCAGTATTTTCATGTGGAAAATGCTGTTTTGCTGCTGGAGTCATCCTCACTCTCCATCTCTGTGTGTGTGATGTATGTTAACACCCGCCAGCGGAAACACCCATCTACCCAACTGACAGATGGAATCTCACTATACATCAGCCAATCTCATCCTCCCCTCTCTCATGACAAGGCGCGCACGAATCCTATCATGAAAAAAAGGTTAATTGTGCGACCTGAGTAACGTGCAGTAACGGGGTGTCGGCAATGGTAACTGCATTATAGTTACAGTCAAAGTAATTAGTTAGATTACTTGTTAATAAAAAACTTTTAACGCCATTACTCCCATCACTGAATATAACTATAGTGGACAGTTGCTTTCATTGGATTGCTGACTTTGCAGCAATCCCTGATAATAGACATCCATCCAGTGAGGATGGAAAAACTTTGAAATTTGTCTTATAAGTGCGTAAATGAGAAGTTATCCACACATATGGTTTTCTTACACTTGATCATATACTATTTTATTTAACCTAGCATTGTTTTCATTTCTTGCTTTACAGAACTTGTTTTCATCCTCTTGATATTCCTTTTACAACACTGGCAGCCATGGCCAGTCCCGTAGATATCCTAAGCAAGGTGATAGAGCAAACAGCTAAGGTGATCGAGGAGGAAGTGGATGCTAAGTTAAGCAAACTGAATGAAATGGATGATGACGAACTGGAGAGGCTGAAGGAGAGGCGATTGGAGGCACTTAAAAAAGCACAGAAGCAAAAGCAGGTGAGTACGCGATTATGCCCAGCTGACTATCTCTCACTTCTTTAAGGGTGGATTTTATCATCTCATAATATTGATGACTACATGCCAGGCAGATATAACTTGTTTCCGGTTAATAATAATATTATTAATGATAATTGAACTTTATTAATCTGACACTTGAGAAATGTACCTCTGCATTTGAAATCCAGATGTTCTGAGTTTGAGCCCCACTCCAACAGACTGCCACACTGGGTCTCTGAGCAAGACTCTTAACCCCACACTGCTCACCGGGCGCCGCACAATGGCAGCCCACTGCTCCCCAAGGGGATGGGTTCAATGCAGATGTAAATTTCTCCAATGTGAGATCAATAAAGTTCAATTATTGATAATATAGGATACCCCAGAGTACTCCTAAAATAAAAAGTATGGTTTACTACATGGAAAAGTGGACCAGTCGTGATCTTTCTGTTTTGTTAGCTTTCCTAACTAGCCTAGGGGGAAGTGGTATTGGGGTGTTATAAATGACTTAAGTTTCTTTTTGCCATGAATTTCCTGCTTTAAAGGAGTGGCTGTCCAAAGGCCATGGAGAGTACAGAGAAATCTCCAGTGAGAAGGACTTTTTTGGTGAAGTGAAGGAGAGCAAGAATGTTGTCTGCCACTTTTACAGAAATTCAACCTTCAGGTAAATCCATGATTCTCAGAAATCCTCACAGACCATTACAAACGTTTGATTTATTGAAGCGTATTGTTTTACTACAGAGCTGCTATTAGCTGTTGTTGCCAATTGTAGCTGCTCTTAAAGTTTTCCAATATCACATCTGTCCCACAATCATCAATTCCACATTTTAGGGAGCTAATAGCTGCACTAAGAAATGGGAGATTTCTCATATTTGTATTTATTGCAAGCATCAACATAGAAAATCTAATTAATGTTGGTAAAGGATTTATCAAGTTATATTTGTACTGAGTACTTATGAACCTAATCAATAAAACATTGAACTACGATATTTAGAAGTTCTGTAGTTTTACTTCTCAGCTTTAATTAAAACAACTTTGGAGAAGGTTGTTTTCTTTCTGCATTTGTGGTAATTAATCCTATAATCATTTAATTTTTTCACATTGCAGATGTAAGATCATGGACAAACACTTGGGTATCCTGGCAAAGAAGCATGTGGAAACCAAGTTCATCAAACTGAACGCAGAAAAGGCTCCGTTTCTGACAGAGAGGCTGCGGATTAAAGTTATTCCTACCCTGGCTTTGGTTTTAGATGGAAAAACAAAGGATTATGTGGTTGGATTCACAGATCTGGGCAACACAGATGAGTTCTCCACTGAAATACTTGAATGGCGACTTGGATGCGCAGGTGTCATTAATTACAGGTGAACTGAGAGATAGAGAAGCGATCTAAGATTTTACAGATAAAGAAACGTAGCAGTGCACATTCCATTTAATGCCAACCTTCTTGTGTGTTTTTTTTAGTGGGAACCTGATGGAGCCTCCTACCGGAACACAAAAGTCTGGATCAAAGATCACTAAAGTGGAGAAGAAAACCATCAGAGGGCGAGATTATGACTCTGACTCAGATGATGATTAAAAAGCTTTTCGTTCTCGGGCCACCTCCCTAAAATACTCAGCATCAGTGCTCTTGAATATTTTAGTCTCATCATTTATTCATTCATTGATTTCCATCGCTTTCAGTATCAGTCATCTTCTCTTTATTGGGCCAATTTAACATTTTATTTAAAGAAAGCCGTAACATTTAGATCTCTATATTGTCCCTAATGAGCCAGAAGTAAGACATGCTGTGAAATTCAGAGGTTTTCCTTTCTTCTTCTTGTGGCCTAGAAATTTCAAGCCTTCTTTTTGAATCACAGGCTTGTTTGGTTCATTTAATTTTTCTTGTGTGTTCTGTTAGAACCAAGCCTGTGATGCACATTAGTGCCATGAGAAAGTCTATTACACTATTAGCATCACAACAAGTTTTTACATGACAATACCTTGTAGCAAAAAGTTTAACTTAATTCCATATTAAAATAAAAACATGAAAGATTTTCACTTTGCTTGTGTGTTTTTTATTAGTTTCCTTCCAATAGTTTGCGTCAAAAAATAACCACAAGCTCCAGTGCAGCTAATGGGATTGTATATTAGAAAATCTTTTGGTAGTTTATAGCTGTCAAGAAGAAAAATTATATTTATATCAAATTTAAGACTTCATAGGAATAAAATATAGAAAAGTGTGACTGGCATATTTTTTCATTTTTATGTAAGAATTAGAAGTTGATACAAACATATCTTTAGTTAAGTATGAAGTATTTTAAGATGAATACGACCCTAATGAAATCTCACCATTTGTGGAAAAACCCCAAAGGTAAACCTCAGTTGCCTTTAGACCAGATCATTGCATTGTTGTTTTGGTTGTATCTTTATCTGTCCAGCTATAAGGGGGACCTCTGCATAAAGCTCAAATCTTTCTCCTGGACCTAAATCTCCTACAGTATAGTACTAAAATAGCTAGGGTTTCTATCCTTCCTGCTTAATTAGCTGCATCCATCTCCACAACTTCAACAAGCTTCATTGTAATTGCTGAACTAAAGCATCGCCATCTGATGCCACTGACATGTACCACTGCAGGGATTGCTGTCTGTTGCAGGGTGCATTTAGAACAAATAAATTCTTTGACCAGAGCACCTTGCTCTATATAGCACCTTGCTCTATATGTCCCCTTTATAGCATGTGGGAGAGTGAAAAAGTGGATTTGCCAATGGTTTTACTCAAAATTAAATTCCACACATCCCTAAAGGCCATATTGCCATGAAAGGAATACATAAGGGCTCATTTATACTGTCTTTAAGAGGTATTTTACCTTTTCGTAGTGCAAAGTTGCTGGAAATCAGTATGTTCTAAAAAGTTAACAGGGAAGTATGAAGTGTCTAAAGGTGATATATAAAACCATTTGCATTAAGTATAGATAAGCTTTGCTACACCATTTTTACATTTCCAATCGATTTATGGTTTATTCAGATAAACTGGGTGCTTTGTATTCCTGCTCAAAATGTGCCAAAGGATTTCTAAATAATGTTATCCCTGCACAGCATACTATTCCATGCAAGATCAAAGAACACTTGAAAAAAACAAACAGTTATTTTATGTTTATTAACAGTTAGAAATTGAAACAAATATTGCAGAGCAGAACTACGACTCAATAGCCTTCTGGTCGACAGGTTGGAGGAGGCGACGCACAATCAGCTCTCCTTTGCTGTTGATGTACGTGTCGGCCATGTCCTCCTCAGCGGGGAGCCCATGTGGAGTTTTCAATGGCTGTATCCTTTATGGATGCAGGGAAATAGAAAAAAAAAAAAAAAAAAGGAAGTCATAATCATTTAAATGACAGAAGGCTTGAAATTGAACTTTCTGTTCTGGACATAAAAAATGATCCAGCACTACAAATCCTTAACTTGGTATTTTAGGTATTATTATTTTTTTTTTTTTAAATCTTCATTGTATCTCTAAATGCATGGAAAATCAGGCTATACTTTTTTTATATATAAAACATGATGATTTGTATTCCAGTGATATTACCTTACAAGGTGCTTGATAATTTTCAGCTGGTTATTAACTGAAGGTGTGTTTTTATGGATTACAGGCTTGTGAGCCTGAGGGGAAGACAAACAGACCAAAGTCAAACATTGTGTAAGCATTGTACTACACGGCTATTATATTTATAAAGGATTCAGGGATATGTTGTCATACACTGCGCCCTTATCACGTTCCTTAATTGTCAATTTACCAGCTGCTACTGATAAATCATTGCTGTTTATGAGCTTCTATTGACAATAAATGCTATATTGCACACATGGACCAAGCTCTGATTCAACATCTCCAAAGCAGACTTTCTGATTCATCCATACAAACGCAGACTTGATGTTTTAGATACGACAATAACAGTACCTTTTCAAGTCCAAAATACTTCACAATATCCTTCTCCCAGTAGGGCCTTCGCATCACGCTTCTGACCCGGGTCACTATATGCAGTTTGTGAGGTTGCTCTGGATCGCCCCCGTACTTTGCATGCTCTTTGGATCTCTCAGCGAAATGCTGTCAAATTGGGACAAATATTTAAGTTCTTATCATCCGACAAAACAAACGAGCAGCAGATGACTCTTATCACCAAACACTGATGTTTCTGGGGCAATAAAGCAAGCACTGATAATGAATAAATGTTTAAACACAGGTAAGAAAAATCACACAAAAAGTTAACATCTAACTCTCAAATGCATTATATCTTATTTTAGTCTAAAGATAATTACATTTTAAGAGGGGAAAAAAAACTTAATTCTTTAAAACTATAAACCAACTGGGATGGGAGTATTTCAGTTTTTTTTTTCCTTACTTCATTAGGAATTCGTGTTTTGGAAAATTTGCTGCGTGCAGACACAAACCACCCGCAAGGCGACAAAACTGCTCCTTCTTTCAGGGTCTGTAACAAAAAAAAAAAAAAAAGAAATATAAACTGTATTATAGCACTGTGAACCAGGAGGGAAATCTCTTTTTAGATGATGATTTAGTAAAAAAAAGAAACAGCTAGTTGATATAATCCATATACAGTAAATTGGTTTCCATTATTTAAATTCCCCCTTTTAAGCCACTCATTACAGACCAACAGGACATGCAAAGGATAATGTCACCAACAAACATTTCTATATGCTTTTTTTTTCATCAAATCAAAAGCAGCTGAACGTATTGAACAAAATCCTTCTCTCCTCAAGAAGCCTTTAAAGGCCAAAACAGAATATACCGAGTCTCTCCTGAATTATCCAGCTGTTCCCGGGGGTCCACTCCCAGTGGGATTTGAGAGGCATACCTCCAAAGAAAGGGGCTAATGAAGCACCCCAACTCTGAGCACTACACAAAAACTTATTTCTGTTAAAGCTATGTAAATATCTGGTTAATGTGTGTAAACATCAATTCCAGCTGCTTAAAAGTCGTCAGAATGGAAAGAGGAGATTTTGGATTAAACTGGGATTGTAAATTAGGGGAGTGTTGACCCGTGGGTTAGAGCTGTGCACCTGTGCTCTGAGAAGGTTGCAAAGACCCTTAACCCCACACTGCTCCCCGGGTGCCACACAATGGCAGCCCACTGCTCCCCAAGGGGATGGGTTCGATGCAAAGATACATTTCTGCAATGTGAGATCAATAAAGTTCAGTTATTATCATTATTAAAAATTGTTCCAAGAACCAATTTTACCATTTTTTTTTTTACACACATTACCTTCATAGTTTTCCATATAGAAAATGTTTTAATAACACTAATAGAAACCATGTCCCAATAGAAGTCCTTTGGTTTAATCAGCACTCATGATCTGTCCTATGTAGCCCACTGTCTGGCATAAATGCTGATTAAATGATTAGATTATTCATTTATTGACCAGCTAAGCAGCTAATTAGTCTATAACACAAACTGACAAGAAAATTTTATCAAACCATCAAAATTTTGGAAAATAAAATGATTAAAAAAACAAACAAAAAAACTATAAAATAACAAGAAAACATTAAAATACACAATGTCTACATGTCATACTGCCAACATTCTTAAAAATTCTACTCTTACCTAAGCTTAGTTTAAAGAGAACTAAAAGCAACCTACTATCAAACACACAGCATCTTACTGAAAAAAAAAATAATAAAAAAATATATATTTATTTATATTTATTCCCTTACCTTAATTGTCAGGAAGTTTAAAGTGCGACAAACAGCCGACATGATTAAAATGTGAAGCAAAATCTGCTCCTCATGCAAAAGACGCCAAGGTTACGGGGTCGCTAATGGCTATATTACAAAATAGTGAATATTTTGGCGCAAATTAATGTTAACATCAGAGAGACTTATATCTAAATTAAAACTAAAAATATCCCCGAAACATTAATTGGTTAAAATAAGTTAATAAGAAAAGAAAAGCCAATCACGTTTGTACAGTTTACTTTTAAGAAGCTAACCGGAAGAACGTTGTGTTACATCTAAATTTCTCCGGCGGGGAAAATACTGCTTCCTTTAAAAAGGAATGAAATAATAATAATAATAATAGTAATATAGGCAAAATAAAGTATATATACATATTTATGTAAAGCAATGTTTTTTTAAGTATTTTTGAACCCGGCCTTTTCTGCTTATTTCAACTATCAAATTAATAGTGACGTTTTTCTGGGGAATTATTTTTCGGTTACACCTAGGTAGTTGCCAACTTGTAGGGAGGTTCTACTTTTTCCGCAATAACCAAATATGAACCAGCGATAAAGAGTAGTATAAATAGTGAAAAAGAAAAAAATGACAGATAACCATGTGTCCGGGATGGAGGCTTCTGCCGTGTCCGTCCTGAAACGGGCAGTGGAGCTGGACCAGAGCGGCCGCTTCCAGGAGTCCCTGGTCTGCTACCAGGAGGGGATCCAGCTGCTCATAGACGTGCTGAAAGGTATCCGATTGTTCTTGGTGTAAACATTACCACTCTAAATATCGCATCCCCCTCATCACACTTTCTTTAATGTGGCTTTAACAGCTTTAAAAGACGAATCGAAGAGAGGACACTACAGGGATAAGATCAAGGGCTACATGGACAGAGCAGAGCAAATCAAAGCTCATGTTAACCAGATGAAAGAAGGTACTTCAATCAAACACTGTAAAATGCCTTCCAGCAGTATCTACACTCTAGATAACATCCTTGCATTTCACCTCATTACATTGTTGGGACCTACATTCCTAAATGCCCTAAATGCATTAGGGAGCATTATCACAGATCCTTCCTCCCAGCAGCTCTAAGACTTTATAACCATCACTGTTCCCAAACAACATCAATAATATGTTACATTGATGCTGATTTTTTGCACAGTTTCTACCTTAGTCAGTAATTAACATGCTACTGTAATTTTGCACAGCTCTGATGTTCCTGCCATTTTCAAATATCATTACTGTAAAAATGTCCATAGCTGTATATTGGTTATTAATTCTCGGGGTGCACAGTATTTATATTGCTAAAACACTTTACAGTACAGTATTTTATTTTTTTATTTAGTTTTTTTACTCGTCACTATTATGTTATTTTCATACTCTTCTGGGCTGCTCAGTGACGCAATGGGTAGCACTTGCAGCAAAAAGGTTATGTGTTCGACTCCCGGCCCGGGTTCTTTCTGCATGGAGTTTGCATGTTCTCCCTGAGCATGCGTGGGTTATCTCCTGGTACTCCGGCTTCCTCCCACAGTCCAAAAACATGATTGTTAGGTTAATTGGGGTCTCTATAAATCTCCTTAGGTGTGAGTGTGTGCTTGAATGGTTGTTTGTCTCTGTGTTGCCCTGCGATGGACTGGACCTGTCCAGGGTGTACCCTGCCTCTCGCCCTTAAACAGCTGGAGATAGGCACCAGCACCCCTCACGACCCCACTTGGGATTAAGCGTGTTAGAAAATGGATGGATGGATGGATATACACTCTTCTAAGGTCCACATTTGTATGACAATTTTTTCTATAAACTTTTTGCTGCTGTAACGCTAACAATTTCCCCATTGTGGGACAATAAAGGGATTTTCTATTCTATTTTGTATTGCAGCAACACATGTTAGGTCTTTGTCTTAAAGTGAAAGAAAACATTCACAGAGAGTTTAGCTTAGTTACGTTTTAGTTTATTCAATCACTTTGTGTTTACAAAGATGAATGAAGGAAAAGCTTATGAATGCCTGCCTTCTTACAACAAAATTAAGCTACACCTCACTTAACAACAATAACCAATTTAGTTATAATACAAGAAAATATACTTAACTTACAATGACAGTTTTCAAATGGAATGTTGTGAACAGGATTTTTTAAACTAAGAAAGGTATTTAAACCCAGCATCATTAAATCTCATTTTGATTTTCTTTTTTACATTTTGTCAGGTGAAATTACATGGACTTCTAAAATTATGTTTGGTTTCTGGAATAGAGCACAACCTCTGGACATATTTCAGTAGAGATTTCTTTTTGTGCTTTTTACATTAATTGCATTATTCAATAATATACAAGATCTTTAAATTTGATTTTATGTGAATTTATAAATACTAGATTAGTCTGGTCACAACATCCTGCTTAATATATAATGAGTATGGCTCTTGTTTGCTGCAACAGACAAGCTCACAGTTTTGTAAGCTTCCACACGGTTTGTTAAATAAGGGTTTATAAGAGAGTAATTCATTTAATACAAACCTTTAAAATTTAGGATGTTCTTTGTTTTATGTAAACTTGCTATTGACTTTGACATTCCTCCTTTTAAATAATCAACATGCTGTTTCTGGCATACGGTAGTTTATAATCGATTACCACACCCCAAAATGTTGTCTCCCAAACTCATTCAATTTCAGCATCAGAAATCTTTCCATTTATGTCATTATTATTTTATTTTTTCTTTCCAAATACCATGCATTTTGTTTTATTTGCATTAAGGGATAATTTATTGACATCAAACCAGATTTTGAGCACTTCCAACTCCTTTTTGATTGTATCTACATGTTCTTTTAGCAAAAGTATCATAGGCAAAAATAATACATTTCAATAACTTAGAAACTTTACAGTTATAATTTATATAAAGAATACATAATTAAGTTCCAATCACCCTGTGATACCCAACATGTGATTTGCCATGAAATGTCACCATTTTAATTACCGGTATAAAAGATTTGCTTCCATTAATTGGTAAATGGCCTGTAATTATATAGCAAAACTATAGAGACTTGACTAAAATGCTTTACGTTAAATTCAGTTATAACTACATTATAGCCACAGCTGCCCTGGGGCTCACTGACTGAAAGCGAGGCTGCCGTACACTGGCGCCACCGGGCCTCTGACCACCATCAGTAGGCAATACAGGTGCAGCGTTTTGCCCGAGGACACAACGACACTGAAAGCCAGAGCTGGTCTTGAATGAATCAAACCTCTGATTGCAGGGCAAACTTCTGCACCCAAAGCCACCTTTATTGCTTTCAACCCATTAAATAAAACATTACAGAACGACTTTCCTCTGAACCTAGAGCTCCAAGGCTCCTGGAATATGTTTGTTCCAGTTTTAGAAATCTAAAGAGTGATCATTATACCTTTCTTCTTTGCAGTATAGTTCAAGGTCAGTCAGCGAAAACAGATTTTAAAATCCATTACATTGTAGCTTTGAATGTATTTAGAGTTGTTGCCATGCTGGAAGACAAGTTTTTCCTCATGTGTACTCCATATTTAGCTCCCTCCATTGGTCCATCAGCTATAGATAAATTACCTGTTTAAGAAAAGCATTCCCACATAAGGAAGCACAAAGCTGTTTACATGGGGACGATCTGTTCAGTGTATGCAGTGAAATTAGTTAAATGATTTTGGAATACCTTGAAGTTTGTGGTTATAACGACCATAAATGTAAAAATAAGTGGGAACAGCTTCACATTTTTCTCTTGTCTTGACAGATGGGAAATATCACGAGCAGATTAAAATCTCAGAGGATGCTACAGGCTACAGCTACGAAGCTCTGTTTAAACCATACATCAGCAGTGCTCTCTCCGAGGTTTGGGTGGAGGATCCGTACATACGTCACACCCACCAGGTGGGATCTCCTCAAAGATGGTGGCATCTAATAACAAATGGGCGCCTTCTGCAACTTCTTTTAATGTTCCTTTTGTTACAATACAAATAGTTTAAAGAAACAAGGACTGGTGTGCTGTCATGCATGCTAATTCTGCATGCCAGCGTTATAGTTGGTGTGTTAGCTGCCAAGAGACAAAGAGTGGCAGGGACGTTGTAAAAAATCAAAATATAGTCCAGAACCAACACGATGCGGTTTAATTCTCTGTATTCCTGCATATTCAGCTTTAGAAATAAATGCAAATGTTATTCTTTACACGATGTAGCCCTGTTGATACCCTGTAATATTAGCATTTTTTAAAAAACACCTTTTTATTTAAATGTTCAACTTCAATTTGAGTTAAAGATAGAGCTAAATAATGGAAGTGTTTAGCTCATGTTAACTCTCTCCTTTACACCAGTTGTACAACTTCCTGCGGTTCTGTGAAATGTTGCTAAAATCCTGCAGCAAAGTGAAAAAGATCCACCTCCTCACATCCCAGGATGAGGTAGGTTACCTTAGTAACGAGGAGTCGTTCCGTAATCAACATTTAGCAGCCACAGATGCTTATGCTGCTGATGATGTCTTTGTGTCCAGCAGGCTGATAACACCCAGCAGAGCAGCGCTCTGTCCGAGCTGAGGGACAGTCTGGGGGCCGAGGGGGTGACTTTGGATGTGCAGTACTCCTCCACCATCCATGACAGGGAGATCAGGTCTGTTCTTGACTTATAGGTTGCAAATATGTTTTAAATTTTTTTTTTTTGTGTTCAAAAAATGTAATTAACATTTTGGAAATTACTTAAAGGTTTGACAATGGTTGGATTGTAAAAATCGGAAGAGGGTTGGATTACTTCAAAAAGCCTAAGGTGAGATTATTGCTCCATGCGATGAATATTAATACCTCTATGTTTGTTATTCTTCAGATATTAAGCTCTGATTGTTTTGCCCATCAGGGCCGATTCTCTATCGGATATTGTGACTACGACCTCCGACGCTGCCATGAGACTTCTGTGGACATTTTCCACACCAAACACACAAAAACGCTATGAGATTGATCCTGTTCAAAGGACGTTTGCCTCTAACTCTGACTGACTTTGAAACCTAAACACTTCTGCACTGGTATTAAATTAGCACTAACTTGCAGGTTCTCATCCGGGGTTTAGATTTAAAAGTGTGTCCTGAACTGATGTATCGCAGCCATCGCTGCCTCTGCCAATAAATCTCTGTTTTTGCATCCCTTTTTGTGCCTGTAAATAGCGTCTGTATCTATGGTTGTATTTATTGAGAGGGATTTTATGGACCAATATGTGCTGGAATAAACTGTAAAAATGCTTTTATATATTTTCTAAAATAATTAAAGTATGCTTTTATTGATCCAAAAATGCATCTCTGTCATTTATGTTGTCACCTAATGTAAAAACAGGCAGAAAGGCAAATTTAAACAATATAAATGAAAACTAAACCTTAACTCATAAAGTCACACCATAAATAAGAGACAATTAAAATAATAAAAAATGTAACTACTTTTCATAATAATCAAGCCTTAATAGTCATGGTTTATTCAACAAATAGCCTAGTCATGTAAGAATCACTTTAAAATAATATATTTTCATATAACAATACAATGTTTAAATGGAGATGTTGTATGATAATAAAATCTGTACCACTGGGTTTAGTGCAGGGAAAGAAAGTAAATGCTTTGTAATTGATGTTAAAATGTTGCTTAATATCTCACAAATCTAGATATATCCTTTTCATCCCTTCCATTTACAAAAAGCAGCAATATGGTGCTGGGGGTGAGCAGCCCCCTTCCCCCAATGGCAAGAGGGAGACTTTTTAAAATGTATTAAAAGATTTACATAGTCTAATGACAGAAACGTATTTCGTATTGATTGATTGATTTACAGTTTCAAATTTTGTGCACGACATTCTAGCAATTAAAACGTTCCCACGTTGTGTGGCAGCGGCTTGGTTTGGATGGCAGTGGCTGCATAATGTGGAACAAACTGATCATATTTTCTGTTTTGTTTGTCTGAAAGCAGTCAAAAATCATACCTGGACACAAATTTAAGAAAGACAACCTCTTCATGGATGCCGGCTTTCCAAATTAGCTTAAAGCCACTCAACATTTTTTTCTTGTGAAGATTAATTAATAGCGCATATATTCACCTGAGATCTGATTCATGTCTGTGTGTGTTACAGACCCTGATTGAGTGCACTGAAGTGTATGACGATAAAGTAGTGAATCTCAAATGTTTAAAAATACTTTCATAATGTTTTTTTTTTTTTTTTTTATTCAGTTAAGAAAAACGATTAAGCATGATTTTATTGACCTAATCTCAAGCTTATAATTCCAGCTGTTCATCCGATTGGGACCACATTACATGGACTTGATCAGCCGCTTGATCTGCCTAACATCTCAATTAAGCTATGTCATGCTTTATTGTTGAGTTACATGGAATATTAGATATAAAAATCATTTAATTGAAGGGTGATCTTATGAATAAAATCCAATATTGAATTAAAAATCTAAATAATACCATGGTCACCAGAAAGCTCTATTACCTTCACATCTTAAAAGTTAAAAATGGACCAATAAGTTGTTTTTTTAAAGGTAGAGGCTCACAGGAAACATTGCCATTTTTGCAAATATAAACACTGATATTATTAGATGGATTGATAATTCAAGTAAAAACATCTTATTTTACTAAATCGAATATCTGTGGATTGTAAAAATTTCCATGCTAAACTTCCTGTTGGAAAACCCGGCTCTGGTGAAGTAAATCATTCTGGAACCAGTCCTACAGTTGAAACACACTTGTTATAACAACATACGCTGGTTGAAGCAAATGAAACAAGACTAGACCCAATGCAACTCACATGCATTCACATAAATCTGTGATCGGATTATCTATCAGCGTTAATCTCGATATGCACGGTCCTCATCTGGGTTCAAAGATGAAGAAATCATAATCCACAAGGAAACCCTGAACCAGAGATTATAGTAAGCAGTAAATAAGGTCAGTTTCACCCTGTTTGCAGAGACTAAAATAGCCTCTGTTAAATAGACAGACAGGGCCATAATCATACAGCTAGATCCAGGCTCTGTTTCTAATGTCACTGTGGACTCAACACTCTTCATGCTGTTGGTTTGTCACTTGTAATGTGGTTGAATTTACCCCTCCTGCTGTCCCTCACATATGCTTAGTGGCTGAGGGAGTGATATTTTTTTCCTGCTTACAAGTAAAAGAAAAGTGTAACAAAAAATGTCTGGCGCTTGATGTTCAAATGGAGTTGTTCCTCCCCACTGTTACCCCAACTTGGTCAGGATTAGCCAAATATATAAATCCATTCCATACAAACTTATTTGTATTAGATAATTATTATGTGTTGCAATATAACTGAAAAGGGACCCTAAAATATTATTAGATTGCTTTATAGCTTGTTGCTTTATGAATAAAATTAACCTGTACCCCTTTTTTATATTTAGGATTTCTCAAGCTATTCTATGCTGTTTATCACACTCATGTGGACTGTTTGTCTTAAAGTGCAAAACAGAAGGAAAAACTTTTACGTATTTGTTTTTACCCATTAAAAACATCTTGACAATTTTTATTAAATATATCAGATCACTAATTGAAATGATTTAATACCTTTTGCCCTGGTCTTGCCCCTGTATTCGTCTGGGAGAGCGACTGACCCAGTGTGGTCTGTAAACAATCTCATGAGCCATGATTCCTGCATGCATGCCCTCTTTCCAACTGGACTTTTTATTTTTTTTATCCTCTACTCTCTTTTCTGGGCCTAAAAATCAGGTTAGCGTTTTATAAGGAGCTTAGCGCAGAGGGCCACAGTGTGCCACTAATGTAATGGAGTATCCCTCCCTCTCCCTCTCTCTCACACACATTCTCATCTGTCCTCTTTTCTCTTTGTGCATTTGCTTATCCTGTCATGCTGTGACCTTCTCCCTTTGTGATCCATTCTTTCTTTCCTCCCAGCCTGTTTTTTTTCCACTTCCCTCGCTCCTTTGCCTCTGCTTCTGCAGATGTGGACAAATTTCAGCCTGAGGGTTAAACATTAGGTCCGTCACACGGCTGAAACTCCAGCTGGAGAGGAGGACAAACAGGAGGGAAGTGAAGCCGAGCTGCTGGCTGGGTCGTTTGGTGAGTTTTAGATGGAATGGAGAGGGAATTTTTATGTTGTTGTTGTCTTTTTTATGTGAAATAATATTTTTGAATGCATTCCAATAAAGCTCTGTAGGATCACTGTGATGCTGTGAAGGTTACAAGAATCCCTGCATTGTCAATAATCCATCAGATTATCCTCTGTTTCCCTGTTGGATGTGGTCAGACTCTAAATGTCGCTTCTTTATTATATGAAGCTTTATTTGAATTGACTTGGAAGCTTAAAGCACAAGGAAACTTTGATTTAGGGTCACTGTTTTTTTCTGGAATTGTCACATGGGTATCATGTGCTTGTATCCCTTTAAGAAGGTGCACTCCATGGGACAAAAAGGTGCCGCATGGACTTTGTATGTTTACCTATAACCCGATCTATCTCTTTTTTTTTTTTTTATCAGCCAGCCAAGCAAGATTATGGTCTGTTGACTCCTTGACAACTGACGCACAAAACAGTTTGAGACACAGACAGAGGCCATAGCTCACACAGACCAAACCCCAGGTTAAATACAGAAATAGACAAAATGCAGAAAGCGGATTGAGCTAAATCCTGTTTCTAATATTATATCTCCCCATCTTTGATCTTAAGGATTCATCTGTTTATAGAAAGCTATTTACAATTTATGGTTTTCAAAACATTTGCAAGAATGGACATCTAAAAATTGTTATGGTTATTTGCAGTCACTCCGGATTATTTATGTCCCCACATAGTCTATTACTGTGTTATTTAATGTCGGCTTTAAACCCAGCATCATGTATTCAAGGAAACACATCGGACTGGTTAGGGATACAGCTATGGAGGAGTTTAAAGGAGGACTAAAAGACAAAACAATATTCCACGCTTCAAATATCTCCAATCTGTTCAGTGCATCAACAAAAAATTTGAGTTTGGCACAGATGCAAACTTACCTATAATGCCCTTGTTTGTAATCTGACTGGGAGGCATTAATGAGAGAAGCAGTCATGGTAACACTGGAGGAGCTGTAGAGAAACAACAGGACAGCAGTTGTGCTCTCCTTATGTCTGACCCTTTGTTGAAGATTGACAAGAAGGAATAAAGTCCCTAAAGAAAGACATTAAAGGTCCTGCTTGAAACATTTGTGAAAAAGTTGCTCTGGTCAGATGAGATCTGCATATAAAAACACTATATATGACAAAACAATGTCCCGGCTTCTCCACCTGATCAAAGCATCCCCACAATGAAACACAGAGATGGACCCCTCATGCTGAGGGGTTGCTTTTCTACAGACGGAGCAGTGAATCTGTTGAGAAAACCTGAAAAAAAACTCCTGATACATATTGCTAGATCTATGATGGAACAGTTTTAGATCCAAGCATATCAAACCGTTGGAATGGCCTAGATATTTGAAGACCCACATATCCTGAGTTTACCAACATTAACAAGCAAAAATGTCTGTCTTTAGATTAGCAAAGCTGGTGCAAAATTACCCCTGAAGACCTGCAGCTAAAGGAGGTTCTAGAAAATCTTAACTCAGGGCAGAGCTCATTGCAATTTTATGAATAAAGATTTGTAAGAAAAAATACAACAATAAAAAAACATGGATGGTTGCTACTTTTTGTTAATCCCAATAAAGTACAGTGACGTTTGAGGTTGTAAAATAAAAAAATAAAAAATCTGGAACAATTACAGATGTTTCAATATATAGAAAATTTTGTTTTTTTTCTGTAATTCTAGTCTTAAACAGTAACCACAGATAATAATTAGAGTGCTGCGCCATTAATGATTGACCAAATAAAAAAAAAAAATGGCTGCAAACTCAGAATCTATGTCTGTAATGATTTCTGCTGCACCTTTACAGATAAGATGCTGCCTAAGCTTTAGGGGTAATTATTAGACTGCTTTGATAAAATATTAAATCAGCTCATCTTAATAATGATTGCATTTTGCTGATCAAGACGAGGTGCTCAGCCACTGTTGCTTGGATTACAGTAAGGGTTGTTTCTTCTCCTGATAATCAACTCTGTAATAAACCTTTGAACTGTACGCAACATCTGAATCTACGCTTAAGAACAAAGAGCAAACCACTGCTATGTTGGTGCCACTTTAGGAGTGCTTCACCATGAGGCAGCAGCCAGCAAACATGGTATGTCTGGACTAGTTTTGTTTGGCAGGGGTTTTTTGTTTATACCTCCCTTTCATTAAAAACACATTTTGGATTTTTTTTCTTGTTTGTTTTCTTATTAAGGCTCGGACAGATGGATTCTTTCTCTGGGGATAATGAAGAAAGCGCCGAGGAAATTACAAGTGAGATTTTCTCATGTAGAATTTCTTAAAAATGTTAAATTGAAGAGGAAGCGAATGTTTTTTAAAGGACAATAAAATTCTCTATGTATTCAAATCTATCTGAATCTGTCTCTTTTTTTATCTTTGCAGAACGTAAAAGCTCCAAAATCAAGTCTCTAAAAACCCGTTTCTTCAGGAGGGGTAAGAAAACGGGCTCAGAGGCCGATGCCAAGCTCAGCCAGTCGGCCAGTGATATAACAGCTAGAAAAGTACTTGGTTCAGATGAAGATTTAGCGTGAGTGCACCAATGACACAAAAACTTAGCAAATATCACCATCATCATTTCCTATCCTTATTCTCCTAAATCTTCTCTGTGATTTAAAGCTCTCAGGGTACGATGGGATCCAGAGCATTTTCCCACGACAGCATCTTTCTGGCTGATGAGGGCCTTTCAGACCCTGATCCAGTCCGGCTTTCATCTCAGGAGAATGTTCACAGCAAAATTAAATCTCTGCAGGTATGGCTCTTTGTTCTCCTCCTGTTGCTCAAAATCATGAATTTGAGGCAGGATTAACGGATTTAACAGCAACGTCCCTTGCTTCACTATCAAAGATGAAGTTGCAGCTGCAGAAAATGCATTTCGGGCCACCCCCCATGGTTCTACCAATCAGGAGTCCAGAGGAAACCGCTCACAAGTCGGAGCACCTGTCTTTCCAAAGCTGTAATGAAACTTTGGAAGAGGAAAACTTCACAAAGGTAATTCATCATCTCTCTTAAATGAACAAACAAACCAATTCAATAAAAAGGCTTCCTAGAGTTCAAGTTACACACAATGTAGATAAAGAGAGAAAGACATATGCTCAGGATTCTTTTTTAGTCAAAATTATGAAACCTAGAAATGATTAAGTAACGAGAGTGTAAAGATTTAGCAAAGTTGAATCTGACCTTGCTTTGCATCATCTTGCTTCACTAAAACAGAAGACCTTGTTGATGAGAAGCTTAACTGATTCATTTGAACCTTAAAAGTAAAAATCTGCTTAGTCTGAACGATTCTTATACAGTGTCAGTATTAATTAGTGCAGAATTGTTAGGGAAGAAAAAGTATTACATACTTTCCTTAACTTTTGCAACGGAAAATCTAAAATAGGCCTGTGCAAATAGGAAAACTCCAAACCTACATAATTGTAAACTCAAAAGTCCCATTGTAACTTTGGAGGACCTCCTGCTATCCACAGCTCTGGGAAAGTCTGTCGATAACAAAACAATTAGTGATGCTCATATCTAACCTTTATGGACATGGGGAGTGGTGGCCTGGTGGTTAGAGCAGTGCGTGTGTGCTCTGAGAAGGTTGCAAGTACTCAGTTCAATCCCCACAGCCTGCACTCTGGGTCCCTGAGCAAGACCCTCAATCACACACTGCTCCCCGGGCGCTGCACAATGGCAGCCCACTGCTTCCCAAGGGGATGGGTTAAATGCAAAGGTAAATTTCTCCAGTGTGAGATGAATAAAGTTCAATAAATAAAAAAAGAAAGCCCTCAGTGAAGAAAAGCCATAAGGGTTGTTTGTCCTTTGCTTGTTTGTGCTTTTAAAATGTTGCCTCAGTCAAAGGATGAAAAAACAGAAAAAAGAAGTATTTTTCATTTAAGCAAAGGGTTAACTTAATAAGGAAATGACCACTGTACATGAATCTAAATGAGTTACTCGACTGCAAACATGGCAGTGGCAGCGTCACGCTGTGGAGATGCTGGCACAGGGATAATGGTCAGCGTTAACTGAGCCACAAAGCTAATTAAATATTAATCATTGAACTTTTAGAAGCTGCTAAATAGGACATAGGACAGAAATGAATCAGAAGACAGAGCTACATTACATGGGTTTAAACATATTTATTTGATAAAATCTAGTCTAGTCTGAGTCCAGAACTAAACCAAATTGGGCTATTCTACTTTTGATAATGGTTAAAATTGCAGCAAAATTTTATTCTGAAAACCATTTATGCAGGTATGCTGAACATGACTGCACACCAACCTTGTCAGAGAAATCACACCATTTAACTTTAAAAAGGGACATTTTAGAAAGCTCAGTGATCTAGGTATTTTTACAAGGTATCATAATTGATTAAATATCCTAAATACAACAAAGTTGACCTAAAGGTCAATATTAATTCTGCCATACTATCAAAATATGTAAGACTAATGTTTTTGTTGCCTTTACCTTTTCAGACAAAATCTCAGCCAACCTCTCCTCCAGTCTCACCCGTCTCCAGATTTGCCCAAACAAGATTTCATCCCCCAATTCAGTTTTCTTACTCTGCACCCAACTACTGCTCAACAACTGCTGCTGAGGCCCCGGTAGACTTCAGCGCACCAGCCAAATTCACCGCCTCTTTGGATACATCTGCTGCGCGACACAGGATGTCCATCAAACCCAGAAACCAGAGGGCCACTTCTAAGAGGAAGCCGCCTTCTGGGGTGAGAATCTTCATCAATCCTCACAAAGACAGTGCTAAATGTATACATTCGCTTACAAACTTTTGACATTATTTATCTTTCCCTGTTTAGATTCAATCTGGGTCCCTTTTGCATGATCTCAAAACCACTGATTACTTTGAGCTTGTGCAAGAACAAGAACAAGAACAAGAACAGGAGGTTGTTGTTCAACCAGAGGAAACAAAGGAGAAAGAACAGGTCGATCCTTTCCAACTTTCTCCTATAGAATTTGAAGATGTGCCCCCAATTTTATCTGAAGTTGTACCCAAATTACCCAGTCCAACTGTTAGCCTGCAGGACAAGGCCCTTCCTGAGACAGAAGCCCCCCCAGTTCTTCGAGTCAAGCCTTCCAGGCTTCTGGATGTATTGAACAGTAAACGGCCGCACTCGTCCTACATTGAGTCCGAAATAAAGGAGAAAATTGTCAAAGATTTGGAAAGCAAAGTAATGCCCCAAAACAAGAGACATACCTTTATTACCAGTGTGACAGAACTCTCCTCTGACCAGAGCTCACCCTTCAGCTCATTGTTTGAAACCAGGGCATCTCCTGCTCAGCAGCAGCATCTTCAAAAAGAAGAGGACGCCTCAACAAGGTTAAAGAGACCATCCCCAGGATCCGGCTCGTTGTATTTGCCCAGAAACAGAGAGGGAGAAAGACCTCGAACTGGCAGCTTCACGGGAGTCCTAGAAAAGCCTGAAGCCAAGGCTAAAACAACTGAGGAAACAGAAGAGAAAATCACGAGAGAAAAGGAGGAAGTAAAAATTTTACATCCTATAGGAGACCCCTGTGCTGCAGAAAGAACGGACTCATCTCCCCCATGGGAGAGATATTTTAGCTTTAAAAAAAAAGAACCAGGGACACCAGTGAGAAACGCTACCTTAGACACCAGCCTGATGGAGGCAGTGAGAGTGGAAAGCACCCAGGAGCTAGTGGATGAAGCCGAGGAGGCAAAAGAGCTTCCAGAGAGTGAAATAAAGACACCATTCGGCGTTAAGCTTCGCTCCACATCGAACTCTTTCAAGCATCGTTCTGAAACAGCTTCTCAGCGCCATTCGGCAACGTTTCTGTCCGATGACCAAGACGATACAAAGAAAACGTCGAACATTTGCGAAAGTTCCAATCAAATGTCTGAAAAGCTACATGCAAACATCAGCTGCTCGCTCAAATCATCAGGTGAGTCTGTCATGATTTATTATCTTAACAGACATACCCATCATTCCTGATGATGGTAAATATTCCTGTTGCATTAAAATAACCCAACACTGAAAAACAAAGCCAATAACAAACCTTTACAAAGCCTATACAAAAAAACTTATCTTAGGAAATGAAGGAATATCTCAGATTCACTTGAGCTCTTTAAAATGGGAAAACAGGAGAACCTATTTAAGTAAGACAGATGTGTACCATATACCATAACTAGAACCGTGAGAACTAAGGCTAAAGGAAACCCAGAATTTTCTTGCTTTGAAGATGAGGGTCAGGGCGATGAATAGAGATGCAAAACCTCATTGTTACTTATATCAACTAATACATTGGGAAACATGCTGCAAAAAGAAAATGTTTTCTGTCAACTTATCCCAAATGAAAACATGAGGGTTTACCACACTCTAATGGGACTTTTTCAGAAGCTATGGTTTGGTCTGATTAATTCTTTAGATACTAATTCTAGTCAATGGCATTAAACCATGGAGTATATATGGAGGAGAATTTATCGGCCGGCCGATCAATCGGCCTTGATTTTCTTTATTTTTGCAGATCGGTGATCAGCTGATACTTAGATGGTAATCCTTTCTTTTCCACCAATCTGATCTACCTCTCTAAAGGTCTTAAGACCAACTTGTATTTAAAGAACTAAAATTGCTTGAAACTAAAACGTTTGGACTCTACCTGCATTAGCCGTGCCAAAATCTGTGGCAACGCTATTTGCCACTGGGTGTTGTGATATCACCATCAGGCGTAGCCAAGCAAGTCACCAGGTGTTGCAAAGCCAGTTGCTACCAGGTTTTATGCTCTCAACTGATGTGAGCTTCACCCAGCTAACCCCATCAAGCTTTTGGTCCAACAATTATTCACCAGGTGCCAGGCACCTCAGAAATTTCCTTGGAGAATTTTCTAGTTAACAAGTATTCCTGTATAACAGGCTTTTCCTAATTTATGAAACACATCTGCTTTACTTTAATGGAACGTTCTCTTTTCTTTCCCATTTTGAGGAGCATCAGAAATTCTGTTCAAATTACTTTAGGCAAATTCTTTTGTTGGATTTCCACCTGTTAAATGCATATACTCAAAAGAAAGGGTAGATTTTGGTAAAAATTCAGTATTTTATGGCTTTGGAGCCATCTTTACCCCTGAGACGTGAATAGACTTAGAGACTTAAAGACTTCATTTGGGTGTTGAATATTGGTTGTTGTTCTTACAAAAAAACATAAGACTGCAGAAATAGGACAAAAATAAAGATAGCATTTGCAGTGTGATAAGATAAGAGATTTTACTACAGATCAGACACTACATGCACTGTGACATATAGTATGCCTTTAATACTTTTGCATAGTTTTAGTGCGCTAGTTAAACATTGCTTGCTGTGCTGCTGAGTCTTCATAGCAACAACGATTCCACATGGCAAACAATCAATCTAGAGATAAGGCTTCTTGCAATTACACAGGAACTTTGCGCTCGTTAAAATACCACATGACTAACATATCTAACAGAGTTGTGTCCCTCCTTAGATCAAGCTGCTTTTAGCGTCACCCTTCCAGCAAGGCATAACACTTCATTTGAAGAAAGTCCTCAAACCACCCCCACGGAAGTCCAGCCAACCTCCTCTAACCAAAGGGAAACTGAGCCCGCCCCCCTGGAGCCTCGGCCTAGCCCCCAAACGTCCTCACCTGAGACCTCCTGGATAAGTCTGGCCATGCAAAAGACAAGGAGCTTCCAACATCTTTTTACCAGCAGATTTCAAAGAGATTTTACTGCCGCACCAACTACAGTTTGTCCTAAGAATCAAGAAGAGACAACGCCTCATATGCAGAGTCAGGCTGTAAAGATTCAACAAAACACAACACAGCTGCCGTTGGACCCAATGAAGGACGAATCAGTTCAAAGCGGTTGTCAAGAGCAGGCTGCCAAACCTTTAACAAGGGGGGGGTCAAAGAAGCTGACGCTGATATCTCAGTTTGAGTCATACAGCTCTAAAGACTCTTCAATGTGTCCACAAATAAGCCAAGGTCAGACACAGCCTCAATCAGACGCTCAGACCAGCCCCAGAACAACCCAGTCTCCCTCGCGCTCGTCTCCCCAAATGGGTCTCTCATCTCCATTTACACGAGGGAATGCACCACATTCCTACTTGTCCTCAGTCCAGCAGGAAACCTCCTGGAGCAATAGAGTTCTTCAACCTGTTGTCACCCAGCACAAACCCATACATTCAGCGCTGGAGTCAGAACCTGCAGTCACATCGGCTGCAGCTCCTACTCTGGACTCTGCCTTGGAGAGAAGAGAGAGAGAAGGCAGTGTTCTAAAAGAGAGTCCTTCCCTCGTAAGCAAGCGGGTGCTGTGGACGGGATCAGGGGTCGACAGAGCCCTCTTTCAGGAGAAACGAGGCGACTGTTCAATGTCGCCGTTACTGAAGGAGGTTTGTGGCACTTTGGAGCGTTATCTCTCCTAAAATACATATTTTACAAAAATCTTTTTATGCAACTAGAAACTTAATATGTGTAGTTATACAGAATACATGTATTTGAATTGAGCCTAAATACATTTTTGTACTGAACTGACATTTCATTATTTCTGAAAATTGAAATAAGTCTTTTCTCTTATCCTGAACAAATTTTTTTTTTTTTTATCTTTCTTAGTTGGAACAGAGGAAAACTCAAACACAAATGCAGACCTTGGAGGACTCTGATGCTTTGGCTACACTTTTCCCTTTAAGCAAAGATACAGGGGAGATTAGACAAGGGGCCAAATCAGCAGGTATGCTGATGATACACATCTTTTATAATAACACAGCTCATTGCAAAACATAATAATTAAATATTTTCAAAACTTTTTCAGTCCAGCCTTTAGACCTTTGTAACAGACCAACACAAAGCAACTCGTAATGAAGTACATTTCCAGTTTGTAGATTTAAAAGGTAGCATAAAAAGCTTATATTGGTATAAACTATATAAATCTAAATGCAGATAATTGAATATGCTTGTATCCAGTGTCCCTGATATAAGTTTGTATCAAGTGAACATCAGTTTGCTCATAAGCTCTGAAAAGCAGCTAATTGCTGTAATTGCAAATTCATAAATATATTCTAAATAGGTAATACCAAAATTCCCTGTGCATCCCACCTAGAACTAAAACCTCAGTATTTAAATAAATCTAAACCCTTCAATTGTTGCCTTGTATGCATGTTTAGGGTATCGCCTGTTAAAAGGCGAACCTGTTTATTTTGAGAATTACTCCCTCCATCTCTTTTTTACCAGCTGCTTAATGAATATATCCCCACAGGATGATTCTGTCCCCACCTTGCTTCAGTAAGGGGAAGGTGTTCTCAGGGTTCTAAGCACTGGTACTTTTGTGTGACAAATAAGGGTTGCAAGCAGGCTAATAACATGCCCTTTTGATCAAATTGAACCAAAAGATCTGTGTGTTTGCTGTGTCCCCCTGCATGGCCTGTGAAAAATTAACTCTATTTACCGATGAGGTAATATCTGAAAAAGGTTGAATTGATGGGTTTGTTTAGGGGTATCGATGGCGAGCTGTGCTTTAATGTTTTCCTTTTCTGCTTTTTGTAGAATCAAGCCCCTTTAGGGTTTTAGAAAGGCCTCATGAGGACAGATGGACCCGCAGGAACGTGGAGTCACCCTCATCCCCGTCTTCAATGTCGCCATTTCTAAAGGAGGTTAGTGGCACTTTGGACAACTATCTCTCCCAAAGAACATATATTACAAAAACATTTTTAAGCAACTAGAAGCTTAGTATAAGGAGTTATACTGAATACAATGTATTTGAATTGAGCCTAAATGCATTTTTGTAGTGAACTAACATTTAATTCTCTCTGAAAATTGAAATACCGGTAAGTCTTTTCCCTTTTTCTGAACAAATATTTTTTTTATCTTTCTTAGTTGGAACAGAGGAAAACTCAACCACAAATGCAGACCTCGGAGGACTCTGATGCTTTGGCTACGCTTTCCCCTTTAAGCAAAGATACAGGGGAAATTAGACAAGGGACCAAATCAGCAGGTATGCTGATGATACACATCTTTTACAATAATACAGCTCATTGTAAAAAATATTTTATATATTTTCAAAACTTCTTCAGTCCAGCCTTTAGACCTTTGTAACAGACCAACACAAAGCAACATTTTAGTGCTGTCAGTTTTTCAGGTGGATCTACATCAGAACTTTGACTAGACAATTCAAGCACACCAATAACCTTTGGTCTAAACCTCAGACTGTGCATTTGAACAACATGCAACACATTTAATTTCCATTTAATTCTAGAAGTAAACTTTCCTTTTTGGAAAGATAAACAGAAAGGCGTCTTAAAGCCAGAAAAAAGTGGAAAACATAGAACTTTTCCACCAACCCCAAAAATCCAATATGACTGCCATGTCCAAATAGATAGCATTTAGCTTGTGCTGTGGAATTTTTTTAAGCCTGGTTATTGTAAGTTTTAGCTAACTCCTATAAATTTTCCAACTAGCCTGAAAAAGATTGTTTTATTCTCACTTTCAGATCCAAGTTCTAAAGCCCCTGTCACGCCTTGACGATTTAGCCAGTGTATGTTTGACGTCCCAAAATCTTCTAAAACGCTGGCATACGCTGAACTTTCTATGTTGTTTTTTTTTCAATTTTGGGCGTGTTTAAAGAGTATTCATAATGAGTCCAAAACTTATGTCAAATGACAGCCTAACTTATGCATAATGCACAACAGCGTAATGCCGGTGAAATGTCACAATCCAGTATCCTGAGGGGGCAGCAATACACCCGGAGGCACCCGGCCTGCATAATAAGATTTCTTTGATTGCGGTATTAATCTAGCTACTGTTTACCAACTGCCAAAATAAAAAAAAAGAATTAATAAATAAATAAATAAAAAGAAAGAAAGAAGGTTTACAGTTGCCACAGATTCAGCACCATATCTGCTAGGAAGTTTGTTGGTCGTGGCCGTGGACACAGGGAGGATCCACCACACTCACCTTCTTGCTCACCCTGTGATGGGGATGAAGCCTGGAGGAGAACTGACGGCTTCCTCCCGTGAACCCCCTTTCACACCAAAACACTGCCAATACGCCATTATACGGCAGCTGTAAATTAGAAACATGTCCAGCGGTCGTCTGGAACACGTCAAATACTCTGATATGCGTTGGAGATAAGTTCTTGATAAGTTACACGTAAGTTATGCATAGGTTTCTCATAGGTTTTGGATAAGCTAGACGCCATGACTTATGAATAACTTACACAATGTGTAACTAACAGTCTGTGACTTATGACTCATGTAATAGTAATGAATAATTATTGAACTTTGTTGATCTCATACTGGAGAAATTTACCTCTGCATTTAACCCATCCCCTTGGGATGGGGATGGGTAAAATGTGTGCGGCCCCAGGGGAGCAGTTGGAAGTTAAAGGTGTCACTCAGAGAACCAGAGTGGCAATCTGTGGGAGTGGGGCTTGAACTCAGAACCTCAGTATTGCAACCTCTATGTCCTAACCACTAGGCCACCAATCACCACTCCCACAGCATACGCTGCCATACATCCGAAGATTTTGAGCATGCTCAAAATTTCTTGACGTACTTACCATATGTCGA